GAATTTTTTGAGTTCGTCCCTAATGGAGTTGTACTCAAGAGTAAAGGAAGGTTTTTTGATGAAATAGTTAATTAAATAAGTTAAAAGGCTTGCTAATTCATAGTAAGGAATGTTGTTGATATTGATGGTGCACAGATAGATAACAGATAGAATTATACAGATAATAGATCGAATTTTTTTTTTGGTTTGGAAGTTAATAAAATGAAGTTTGTTTTCGCTTTTGTATTTGTTTTGGAAATCTTGTTCAATTTCATTAAACTCTTTTGGATGGACAGGCAGTAGGTTATACTTTAAACAATCTGAATATATTTTAGCCAGGCGAGATTTGGACATACTTCTGCAATGGGACGGTAATAATTTGGGAGGAATAATATTGCGCGGGCGGACTTTCTATCATTTATTCCAATATCGTGCCGCAATCTCTAATTATAACAAAGTCATAACTATCGATCCTAAAAATGAATGGGCCTTTAATCTTCGGGCATTGGCAAGAATAAGTATTGGGGATTTGGACCAGGCAATTAAAGACTCGGATTATGCACTAAAACTCAATCCAGGAAAAGGATATTCGTATCATTTCCGAAGTATCATTTTACAAGAAATGAATCAACTTGAAGCCGCTTTCGATTACATATGCCATCGATAATCTGGAACTAGATCACATTTATCAAATGACAGAAATTTACTGTGATACATATCAATATTTGAAAGCAATTAGTTTATTGAGTGCCATCATTGATTTATACAAAAAGGAAATAGAAAGTGGAGATATGTATTATGTTCAAGCACTCATTAGGCGTGGGTGGATCTATAGTATATTAGAAAACAAGGAAAGGAGTGCATTCGAGGACTTTCGAATAGTGTTAGAGATTGATCCGAAAAATTATGAAGTACTAACCGACCGTGGAAATCTATGTACTCGTCTTTGTAACTTTAAATCAGCAACGAAGGATATCAATGCAGCAATTAAAATTAAACCAAAAGGATATATGTACCGGAATCGTGCCTATTTATACTATAAAATAGGTCATCACGATTTGGCTCTTCGAGATTTAGATACATCAGAAGGTTTGGAATCCGAGAAGTGTATGACTATTTATCGACGAGTGAAAAGAAGAATGACCTGCCTTTATAGAGGGATGATTTATCATAAACTGGGAGAATATAAAAAATCACTGGAGAATCTTGATGAAGCAATAAAAATCTTGGACGATGATGAAATCATAATTTCACTTGTTGAACGAGCTTCTGTGTATGTTTCAATCAATCGACTGGAAGATGCATTGAATGACTTTAAAAAGGCATTTATTACTGAACCAAAACACGCTTATATGTCGAAGGCCATATCTAAAGGGATTAAACTCTATGGAATTATTTATAATCTGCACAGTCAAAGTTCTAATACATTTAACTGGATATCTCTCCACAAGCAACATTCGCAAATACCTTGTTTAACCTTGAATAAACTTAAAGTAGAGATTGATGATATTAATGAATTGACTGAATTTGAAAAATTGCTATCTCATACAGTGGACAGTGAAGATAACCCCGGTAGCTTAAAAAAAACTTATGATACAAATGACGAGGATTACCTAGATGAGCTTGAAAATGAAGACAAATTTCTTGACAAATTTGAAATCGGTGATGATATCTATGTTGATTATAACAACAGCAAAGTAAAGATATTGAATAAAGGTAAAGAGGTCGAACGATATGACATAACACGAATCGAAAAAGAAAATTCTCTTCAGATTCATTTCTTAACTTGCTGGATTCGGCTCGGTTGGCGAAAGAAAACGCTCAAGGTTGTTTTAACAGACAATTATTTGAGCAGGCAAAGGTTCTGGGGGAAAAACTTTCAAAAAACCATATTGAATTTGCGGAAGTTTTTCGAGGCATGCGTATTATAAAGGAAAAATTTCCTGAAATATTGGTAGTTTGCGAGAAACCTTAGGACGGCATGTAACCAAATTTCATAAATAAATGTTATAGAAAATATTCACTACATTTTACTGATTTTTCCTCTTTAAAAATAGTCAAGTGTTAAAAATTTTTTATACGTTATAAATTTCAAATTATTAAAACATATTATATTCAAATATTTAGCAAGGCATAAATTCATTATCATCATCTTAAATTTGATTTTAAAATTAAAAAAAGTTTAGTTGAAATTTTTTTATAAATTCATATACAAATTATAGTTGGAATAAATAATTTTTACTATATAAATTTTTTTAAAAAAAACTACTTGCAAAATTAAAAGATTTTTATAATACACAAATTAATTTTATAAAAATGATTTGATTTTTTATTTTATAAAATCAATTTTGACTTTAATATAAATTTTGATAAAATTTCATGTTTTGTATTGAATTTTAATAAACTTTTTTAATTAAAAAATCAATTAAGCAAGATAAAAGTTAATAAAGTCACTTTATTAACTAATTTTGTTTTCATTTACAAATTAATGAATTAAAATTATAATATTATTTATTTATTTATTATAATTTAATTGAATTAACATATTTAAAATTTTTAGTTGTAATATGACAAGAAATTTCAATAAAATTTAATCTTATTAAATAAATCTATATTTATACTCTTATTAAAATTTTTATTTTATTTTATTAATTATTTATTAAGCTACAAATAAAAAAATAAATAAAAAATTCATTCAAAGACTTTTTCAACAATTTGTATATACATTAACTAATTACTTGATTAAATTTAAATTAATATTTTGTTAAACCATATTAAAAAATATATTTTTATTTGTGTTAATATAAAACACATCTTATTATGTTTATTAAAAATATATTACTCATTATGTATATAAATAAAATTATTTTAATTATATATTTACTAATCTATTATCTATTATAATAAATATATTTTTAATAAACCTTGAAACAAGAAAAACAAAAAAACTATTTACTTGTAAAAACATTTGTGTTATATAGTTATAAATTTTTTTATATATTTATATTGTTTTTAAATTTAATAATATCTGTTATCATAACAAAAAGTAAAATAACAAAATTTCCAGTTTGCTAAAAAAATAATTTTATAATTTTATTTTTTTAATTTAAATAAATATTAAATATAAAATTATTAAAAACTCTTTTTTAAAATTATTAGCTAATTTACTTTTCAAACACAAATAGAAACTCAACAATTCAATATCTATTTTTTATTTATAATATACAAATTATATTACAAGTATATTAAAAAGACTATTAGATTAATCAATGAAATTAAAATTCAAACAGTTATATTATTATACTATAAGATTTCAACACAATTAAAAACTTCAGTATTGATATATCAAACTCAAAATATTTAAAAAAAATCAATACACATTTATAAAAAAGCTAATAAAATAACATATAGTTGATTAATTCATTAATATATATTGAAATCTTCATTTCTACAATATATAAAATACTTGAAGTAACCATGACAGAATTACAAGCAGAATCAATTAGATTTGAAACTCAATATTATTACCTTGGTTAATAACAAAAGCAACAATAAAAGTTCAAGAAAAAGAGAATCTGAAAATCAATTATAATATAGCAAAATATAATCTTCAATATTGAAAAATATAAATTTTAACAAATAACAAAATCAAATTCAAATCCAATAATTACTATTAGTAATACAATACAATCCCTAAAAAATAATAGATTTCAATGATAACTTTCTCTTTCAATTGCAAAAAATATTGTTTAAAACAATATTAATAGAAAAAAATAAAAAATATTATAAAATACAATTTTACAAACAGTTATTAAACATATTAAAAAATATAAAAAAAAAGAAATCATTTAAATTACTTAACTTCTTAATATACAGTATATTCTATACAAACTATCAAAACTTTAATTCTTAAAATATCAACTTAACAATAATTATATAACAAAAATATATTCAAAGACAAAATAAAAAAAATAATAGCAAACTCAAAAATTTATAGCATAATCTCCAATAAACTATATAATTTAATAAATATTATAACATAAATTCAAACTCTCAATATATCAAATATATTCAAAAACATATTTTTAATAAAATTCGTAAAAATAAATAAATAGAGGCAATAAAAGAAAGAATATGGAAAAGATAAGCATAAATAAGAAACAAATAATTTAAAACTTTTTAAATAACTCCAAAAAATATATCTAGAGCTCTTAATAATATCACTTTAATACTGGTTTAATATTTAAATTTACTATAAATTTATATGAGTAGGTTATAATCCATATATTAAATTTATTATAAATCAGTATTATTTTAATAACAGTTTAATACCCGTTTGGTACTTTTAAAACCTTAGATATATTTTTTTAAACAATATAATTATCAACTATTTAAATAAAAATATAATTATAAATTCAGATGAAATCAAATAAGCTATTAATAAATACTATTATAAATAGACTAGCAAATGCAATATAAAAGAAATTAATAATTTTAAATGAATAAAAAAATACTTATCAATACAAAATATTAAAAAAGAATGGTATATTACAATAACGATCTTATCTTAACTAATAAAATTCAAAGTATAATTAAATTTTACTCAGAAAAAATGGCACCAGACTTAATAAAATTTTCATATATAATATTCAAAAACTAATTAAAGACTTTTTTCATTTTATTACAGATCTTTTTAATTATATTTTTATATAAAAACAGGTTTCCAATAAATAAAAAATTAAAAACATATATCTCATTTTCAATTCAAAACCATGAAAAATAATATTAACATAATCATATTAATTATACTTTTGGAAACAATGAGAAAATCTTTATCCAAATTATTATAAACAGACTATTCCAAATAATACTACAATATTAAATTATATTACTATACAATTGTATAACTCTTTCTAATTACAGTAAACAAAAACCTATACAAATACTTTGAACAATCCAAGATAATACAAAACAACTCTCCAAAAAACATAAATTCTTAGCTTGGATATAGCAAAGACTTTTAACTCAATAAATATACTGTATTATGTCTCAAACTAGTACTCTAAAGAATAAAGTATTTAAAAAAGATTATATAACTTATTATAAGTATTTGCAATTATTGACAAAATTAAGTTTTAACTTAAAATTAAATTAGATCAAAAAGATATAATATTTTTGCTTCTCTAAAAAATATATTACAATTCACTATTTACAAATATTACAATATAAACCAAAAAATATATTCTTTAAATCAAGGCCTATATAGAAATTACATTACAATTCTTTAACATATCTTATATATAATATATATATATAATGCAATATTAATTATAGACAAAAAAAATTGCAACAAATTTGTAATATCTATATAGACTTTATCAATCTTAATAATATTAATATGAATGAAGACAAATTGAATCTTATAATTTTTTTTTTTTTAAAAAACTCTTCCCGTCAATCAATTTTTTGCTCAAAAATTTCCTTATTTGGTAATAAGCTCTCTCAAGAAACTCTTCAATCCAAAGCACTTCCAAGTGCTCTCACCCGCTAACTAACTCCTACCATGGAGCA